TATGTGCCAAGTTTAGTGAGGAAATACTGAACGGTTTTAGAGTTCTGCTCCGGAGAAGACAAAAGTGCACGGACGGACGGACGGAGTCCATTTTAATACTCCCCGCAAAACGTGTTGCAGGGGATAAAAAAAACTATTCAAGTTGTTGCATGTCCTTAACAACGAAGGGAGGTAACTCATCATGGCAGTGCCTACGGTAGCTGATGAAAGTTGTCTAATCCAAACTGCTTTACAATCCGGACAAATGAGTCAGTTCCAGGCCAGTCCGTAATAGACAGATTCCACTTTAACTAGAGACAGTTTCTCAATTGGTCATGTGACTGTTTCAGGTTTTCCCCCATTGGTGTATAACTTCATTGGTCACCCAAGATAGCACATATGACAGCTAAATTTTATTTGCATGATGTCGACCATTGATTTATTTAGACAACAAAGAGCAATCAATCAACATATTGGTGGTTAATCCTTTGATGGAAGGACATTGTTTTACACAGGCACTTTAACGCACAGTATTCAGTGTAAGTTACCTTTTTTGACAAATCTGCTGTGCAAGATAAATGTAATTAATCAATTATCATGTTATCGGTCAATCCTTTGAACGATACTTGTTTTTTAAATCAGCTGATAATTCCTCTTGCTGCATTTCCATGCACATATTACATAAAATGTAACACATTTGCCACATCAGACCTTTAGTTATCATGTTAAGTATATACTCCAGACATGAGAAATGCTACATGGAAACCTTTGTTGGGTAGTCTGAGTGGTGCTACCAGACTACCACTAATTATACTTGTAATAAAATCATTAACTGACCACCCAGTGAATGATGACAAATAACGGTAGGTTTATGTCACGCTAAACATTGGCTACAGCAAGGGAGTATTAGTTGCTGTACGGCATGCAAATTTAATTTCCTAAAAACTAATGGGTCAACGCTTGTTTTAAGACTACGAACAGAACTTCATTGTTGCATAAGAAATACATATAAGCATTTGCTGTACACTAAAGTTAAAACTGTATACTGGTATTTACCTAAGTAAATTTTCAGAATTTTCCAGCAATGGCAAAGTGAGGTTTGATTTAGTTGACAGATTCAAATAAATCAAATGTGTTTTTAATATCATAGGTCAATAGACATCACATTCAGGATTGTTACATGACATGATAATATATTGAGGTGAAAACACAATAACAGGATCAAATTGGATCAGTCATCATACCATCCAGAAAATCAAAACAGAAAAGCGTACACTGCTGGAATACTTTACTACAATCTCACAATTATTAGTGCTGGAACGATACATCAAACTATCGATAGATTGCAATTGTTAAACTTGAGTCTCCGATAGCAATTACGATGGTTGAAACGAAAAACTATTGATGCATCGATAATATGTGTGACTATCGATACTTTAGAAATTGACTTCCGCTGATAAACTCGCAGAACAAAATACAGGAAGTACCACATTCGTTCACAGTTATCTGCCCCTGCTACTTCTTAAACTAACATGGCAGCAAACACCGCTTGTGTTTGAAATTGTGAATACCAATAGGTTTAAGTTTTAACTGTTTACTTGATCTGGGTGTCTTGTCAGTTAAAAGAGACTGAAACTACTTCAACTTGTTTTTATTTTATACAAACTATACATTCATTTGGGAAATGACTTCAAATGAGACAATTTAAGGAGAAAAAAAACATATTGCAATGCAATAGTTGGTCTCAATAGACTATTGCTATTGAAGTAGTTGTTTCCCCCCTCAATAGTCACCACTACAAATGATACCAGGGGTAAGTTCAAATAACGGCTTCAATGCCAACAAACAACAACAACCAACACCTAAAACAACATATCAGTAGACAACCTGAAACGTCAACGGTGAAACTTCTAAAGCGGATACATCCATGTATAAGAAAATCCGAAAAAGTCTACCCAGCTGGGATACTTTATTACAATCAGACAATAACTGCTGGGGGCATTTTCAAATAACGGCATCTGATGTGAAGCCACCCTTCGTAATGTCACACTGTTTAGGTTGAAGAAACTGTGCCAATGTGGACCGCTACCCAGTCCCCGTGTAATGCCATTGTCGAGGGAGGGGCGGTGGGGTAGCCTAGGGGTTACAGCATTTGCTCGCCATGCCAAGACCCGGTTCGATTCTCCACATGGGTACAATGTGTGAAGCTCAATTCTTGTGTCCCCTGCTGTGATATTGCTGGAATATTGCTAAAAGCGATGTAAAACCAAACTCAGTCAGTCAGTGTTGTCTCTTAGATTTTGTTATGACCATCAAGTCTGTTCAGTTTCATTTGTCCTGGACCCATATATAGTTTATGCCCGCAGATGAACCAAATTTTGAGGACCAAAAATGTTGTCCGTAGAAAGGAGTCGGCTTAAGTTATCTAAAGTTTACAAATTCATCAAACTAATTTTTCTGGTGGTAAAAAACCCGACAATGTATCGCTTTTTGTGTGAATGGACAAGAGAAAAAAGACTTGTCGGATAAAGACGGCCCAGACGTCAAATGTTGATTTAAAAACATTGAAACCTTTTAATGGTAATGTTATGGTATGTGTGCCATTGTTGAATTCCCTTGAGATGCCCTGAATTTTCACATGGTTATCAGCATTCAGTTAACGCTTCAACTTCATTGTCTTGTGATTGTACTGATTTTTTCAAGGTAGTTCCTGTGTCTCTTTGTGAAATGTGAAACATACTTGCCAATGCCATGCAACTGGGGCTTGAAATGCAAAACACTGTCATCAGGGTATATATTTTCACTGACAGGGTTTAAGCTCTATATAAAAGGATGATATAGTTCTAAGTGACAATATATACCATGTATACCTTGCAGTTTTCACGAATAGCGTCTCGGACAAATCCATCAGATTAGCCGACAGTCCGGTGGAAGTCTACAACCTGCCTGCCCCTGTGTCCGACTGTATATTTCACAATGACTTTGATTGAAGTTGTCATATGTGGCACGTCACACTTGTTTGCTGTTTATAAATTTTACGTTTTTTAATAATTTCAATGCCAGTTATAAGAAATGTTAAATCTGAAATGTGTTTTTAATTTTTATTCTATGGGTCCTGTGAATTTTCAGTGGGTCAGACAGACATCTGAAACTCACAGGACCCAATGTTATGTTACTTTGAAACACCATTCATGAACACTGCCTTGGTGCCAGTTTTATTTGCGTAGCAAGCCCCTGTGTGTCAACGTTCATTTTCTTCAAACATTTTGGAAGAGATACTGTTTACTGAGACAAAAAATGCATTTGGAACGGGCATGGACATTATAGTAAAACAATGAAGGTCAATGATCATGATCGATATTTGTTACTTTAGATAAGAAAAAAAGGTACACATGCATTATACCAGATACCTGCCTGCCATAGTTAATTAGGTCACGTGATGCGAGCTCGGAAAGGTGAAAAAAATAAAATAACTGAGATGAAAATAACCCTAACCCTAACTTAACCCGGTGTTGTCCCACGAGGCCTAAAATTATTCAATTAGGTAGGTACAGTTCATTAGGCTATGTGGGACTTCATGCCTCACTGGTTTTATGGGATTACGGTGGATTATTGCTGGACTGGTCCATTATTGACCACAGAAGGGGTGAATCATAAGAAACAACAAAAATCAAATATGATTGTGAAATGTTTATTTTAACAGTGATTTATCATTTCTGTATTACTGGTTTTATTGGATAAGGGTGGACTGACCACAGGAATCATAACAACATATTATTAGGTATTATGTTATCACCACAAAATCTGTATTATTTAGCATATTATCACAGGTGACAAAGTGATATGTTTATGTTTATTGTTATTCACTGTTCCCAAACACCAAGTAAGTGGGATACTGAGTCTGTGTAGTACAGGACAATGATGGTGCCAGTGTTTAGCCTGGTCTTGGCTCAAGCAGCAAGCCCTGGTCAACTTGCTACATAGCTTAATGCCTCCTTGCTGGTTCATGTGTATGACCTCCTCTACTTTGTCAGTCTCACTTCGGTCCTGGACTGCTCACGCTTTGATCAGCTTCATAAAGTCAAATATGTCTAATCTATAGCAAGTTTCATTCCTTCTCATGTTAGTTGGAGAAGGAAACTGATTAATATCCACTTCATGTAAATACTCCTCCAGCAATAATAGATCTAATCTTATTAAGATTAACAGTAGGTAAGTGCTTTCATCTATCAAACCTTAATGTTTTCACAGTAGACAAGTCTCATTACTAAATAAACTAACCCTAACATAGTGACTCCCGTCCACTGATCAGCCTCTCCAACTCTTGTCTCACTTCCAAATACCTTATTGATTATGTCATGTGGGCAAACTGTAATTAGGCCTTGTGGGATTTATTAGGTGTGAATTTTAGGCCTCAATGACTGTCACCCCTAACCCTAACCCTGCTAGGTATCCGTATAATACATTCTAGCCGAACACCCCCAAAAAAAACAAACAAAAACAAAACAACAACCCCCAAAAAAACAAAAAAAACAAACAAAAAAAACAACAACCCAAAAACAAAAACAGAACTTAAAACTTGTATAAGTACCTTTGGCAACTACACAAATACCAAATGTTATTTCAGTTTAAACAAAAGTGACCTAGTTATGACTACAACAGATTTTTCAATATGGCTGCTCATATTTAGTTTCCGTGTTCAGTTTCATGTCCTGAGAAAGGAGGACGGTGGAAATTAGATCGGTAATATTTCATTATTGCAAATATAGAAACTAGAATCTGTATGCCGAGTTTCATTTCCTGAAAAGGATACCAGAAATGGGATTCAAATGTTGTTCGTTCGTTGGGAGGCGACCCTGGGCGGGGTTGTCTTCAACCGACATTACAGAACATTTCAAAGTTTTCTGTCTGCCACTTCTCAGTCTCAGCTCGGTCACTAGCCAATAATCTTCGCCATACAGATTCCAAATCCATTGTAAACATTACCAGTTGATTACACACACGTTAGTGAACCTACTCACGGTACAAGACTTCACGAAATACGTTGAAAATCTTCAGGATGTGTCGAAGTGCTGTTGTTGTCGTCTGTTGCTAAGGGCGGTTGACAGCGACACCTCCCGGCCCAAGGTCGTCTGCCATCCTACTTTCACTTTCGATTTCAATGTCTGGAAGATCTAACGCAAAAACGAGTTTACTTCCCGTCTCAAGTATAATCCCATCACATGGATGCCTCGAGTTTTTATCGCCATATTCAATATTGATTTACAGGCTCGCTTATTACCAGGGATAATCTACAACTAATTACGAAACCTTGAAAATGGAAATACCCGAGCTATTTATAGCCACGTCCCGCAGTGTATGTAAATAATGAATTCCATTGGTTATTTTAACACGTCATCATTCCATTCGTAACTACTCGGGTCATTCCGGCAGGTAGGTCACGGAAAGAGGCGAGTAGTTACGAATGGCCATCATTCGTGACCGACTCGTGTTATTCCGGTTCCATTCGTGACCAACTCGTGGTATAGTGTTATTCCGAAAAGCCGAATAAAATGGAATAGCGTATATCTTCTTGAACGTCATTGTATTTTGCTGGTTTTGTCGTCACCTTGGGCCAGACCTTATATTGCGCAGAGACAAGCCAATACTTCAAAAGGACTTTCCTGGCATGTTGAAAAACAAACTAACATGATTATTGGACGAAAATCGATTTTTTATATAATAACGCGCCATTTCTCAAAACCTACATCGGTGCTTGTTTCATGCTGAGGTTATATTGTTTGTTGTTTATAGCAGGGAGACTATATATGTTGTATATTATCCCTGTTTAGAGCAGGGAGACTATATATATGTTGTAGATTATCCATGTTTAGAGCAGGGAGACTATATATGTTGTAGATTATCCCTGTTTGAGACTATATATGTTGTAGAGTATCCCTGTTTAGAGCAGGGAGACTATATATGTTGTAGATTATCCCTGTTTAGAGCAGAGAGACTATATATGTTGTAGATTATCCCTGTTTAGAGCAGGGAGACTATATATGTTGTAGATTATCCCTGTTCAGAGCAGAGAGACTATATATGTTGTAGATTAGCCCTGTTTAGAGCAGGGAGACTATATATGTTGTAGATTATCCCTGTTTAGAGCAGGGAGACTATATATGTTGTAGATTATCCCTGTTTAGAGCAGGGAGACTATATATGTTGTAGATTATCCCTGTTTATAGCAGAGAGACTATATATGTTGTAGATTATCCCTGTTTAGAGCAGGGAGACTATATATGTTGTAGATTATCGATGTTTGAGACTATATATGTTGTAGATTATCCCTGTTTAGAGCAGGGAGACTATATATGTTGTAGATTATCCCTGTTTAGAGCAGGGAGACTATATATGTTGTAGATTATCCCTGTTTAGAGCAGGGAGACTATATATGTTGTAGATTATCCCTGTTTAGAGCAGGGAGACTACATATGTTGTAGATTATCCCTGTTTAGAGCAGGGAGACTATATATGTTGTAGATTATCCCTGTTTATAGCAGAGAGACTATATATGTTGTAGATTATCCCTGTTTATAGCAGAGAGACTATATATGTTGTAGGTTATCCCTGTTTATAGCAGAGAGACTATATATGTTGTAGATTATCCCTGTTTAGAGCAGGGAGACTACATATGTTGTAGATTATCCCTGTTTGAGACTATATATGTTGTAGATTATCCCTGTTTAGAGCAGGGAGACTATATATGTTGTAGATTAGCCCTGTTTAGAGCAGGGAGACTATATACGTTGTAGATTATCCCTGTTTAGAGCAGGGAGACTACATATGTTGTAGATTATCCCTGTTTAGAGCAGGGAGACTATATATGTTGTAGATTATCCCTGTTTAGAGCAGGGAGACTACATATGTTGTAGATTATCCCTGTTTAGAACAGGAGACTATATATGTTGTAGATTATCCCTGTTTATAGCAGAGACTATATATGTTGTAGATTATCCCTCTTTAGAGCAAGGAGACTACATATGTTGTAGATTATCCCTGTTTACAGCAGGGAGACTATATATGTTGTAGATTGTCCCTGTTTAGAACAGGGAGTCTATATATGTTGTAGATTATCCCTGTTTAGAGCAGGGAGACTGTATATGTTGTAGATTATCCCTGTTTATAGCAGAGAGATTATATATGTTGTAGATTATCCCTGTTTAGAGCAGGGAGACTATATATGTTGTAGATTATCCCTGTTTAGAGCAGGGAGACTGTGTATGTTGTAGATTATCCCTGTTTAGAACAGGGAGTCTATATATGTTGTAGATTATCCCTGTTAAGAGCAGGGAGACTATATATGTTGTAGATTATCCCTGTTTAGAGCAGGGAGACTATATATGTTGTAGATTATCCCTGTTTAGAGCAGGGAGACTATATATGTTGTAGATTATCCCTGTTTAGAGCAGGGAGACTACATATGTTGTAGATTATCCCTGTTTGAGACTATATATGTTGTAGATTATCCCTGTTTAGAGCAGGGAGACTATATATGTTGTAGATTAGCCCTGTTTAGAGCAGGGAGACTATATATGTTGTAGATTATCCCTGTTTAGAGCAGGGAGACTACATATGTTGTAGATTATCCCTGTTTAGAGCAGGGAGACTATATATGTTGTAGATTATCCCTGTTTAGAGCAGGGAGACTACATATGTTGTAGATTATCCCTGTTTAGAACAGGGAGACTATATATGTTGTAGATTATCCCTGTTTATAGCAGAGAGACTATATATGTTGTAGATTATCCCTCTTTAGAGCAGGAGACTACATATGTTGTAGATTATCCCTGTTTAGAGCAGGGAGACTATATATGTTGTAGATTGTCCCTGTTTAGAACAGGGAGTCTATATATGTTGTAGATTATCCCTGTTTAGAGCAGGGAGACTGTATATGTTGTAGATTATCCCTGTTTATAGCAGAGAGACTATATATGTTGTAGATTATCCCTGTTTAGAGCAGGGAGACTATATATGTTGTAGATTATCCCTGTTTAGAGCAGGGAGACTACATATGTTGTAGATTATCCCTGTTTAGAGCAGGGAGTCTTTATATGTTGTAGATTATCCCTGTTTAGAACAGGGAGTCTATATATGTTGTAGATTATCCCTGTTAAGAGCAGGGAGACTATATATGTTGTAGATTATCCCTGTTTAGAGCAGGGAGACTACATATGTTGTAGATTATCCCTGTTTGAGACTATATATGTTGTAGATTATACCTGTTTAGAGCAGGGAGACTATATATGTTGTAGATTAGCCCTGTTTAGAGCAGGGAGACTATATACGTTGTAGATTATCCCTGTTTAGAGCAGGGAGACTACATATGTTGTAGATTATCCCTGTTTGAGACTATATATGTTGTAGATTATCCCTGTTTAGAGCAGGGAGACTATATATGTTGTAGATTAGCCCTGTTTAGAGCAGGGAGTCTATATATGTTGTAGATTATCCCTGTTTAGAACAGGGAGGGTATATATGTTGTAGATTATCCCTGTTTAGAGCAGGGAGTCTATATATGTTGTAGATTATCCCTGTTTAGATCAGGGAGACTATATTTGTTGTAGATTATCCCTGTTTAGAGCAGGGAGACTATATACGTTGTAGATTATCCCTGTTTAGAGCAGGGAGACTACATATGTTGTAGATTATCCCTGTTTGAGACTATATATGTTGTAGATTATCCCTGTTTAGAGCAGGGAGACTATATATGTTGTAGATTAGCCCTGTTTAGAGCAGGGAGACTATATATGTTGTAGATTATCCCTGTTTAGAGCAGGGAGACTATATATGTTGCAGATTATCCCTGTTTAGAGCAGGGAGACTATATATGTTGTAGATTATCCCTGTTTAGAGCAGGGAGACTACATATGCTGTAGATTATCCCTGTTTAGAGCAGGGAGACTATATATGTTGTAGATTATCCCTGTTTAGAGCAGGGAGACTACATATGTTGTAGATTATCCCTGTTTGAGACTATATATGTTGTAGATTATCCCTGTTTAGAGCAGGGAGACTATATATGTTGTAGATTATCCCTGTTTAGAGCAGAGAGACTATATATGTTGTAGATTAGCCCTGTTTAGAGCAGGGAGACTATATATGTTGTAGATTATCCCTGTTTAGAGCAGGGAGACTATATATGTTGTAGATTATCCCTGTTTAGAGCAGAGAGACTATATATGTTGTAGATTATCCCTGTTTAGAGCAGGGAGACTATATATGTTGTAGATTATCCCTGTTTAGAGCAGAGAGACTATATATGTTGTAGATTATCCCTGTTTAGAGCAGGGAGACTACATATGATGTAGATTATCCCTGTTTATAGCAGAGAGACTATATATGTTGTAGATTATCCCTGTTTAGAGCAGGGAGACTATATATGTTGTAGATTAGCCCTGTTTAGAGCAGGGAGACTATATATGTTGTAGATTATCCCTGTTTAGAGCAGGGAGACTACATATGTTGTAGATTATCCCTGTTTATTGCAGGGAGACTATATACGTTGTAGATTATCCCTGTTTGAGACTATATATGTTGTAGATTATCCCTGTTTGAGACTATATATGTTGGAGATTATCCCTGTTTAGAGCAGGGAGACTATATACGTTGTAGATTATCCCTGTTTAGAGCAGGGAGACTACATATGTTGTAGATTATCCCTGTTTGAGACTATATATGTTGTAGATTATCCCTGTTTAGAGCAGGGAGACTATATATGTTGTAGATTATCCCTGTTTAGAGCAGGGAGACTATATATGTTGTAGAGTATCCCTGTTTATAGCAGGGAGACTATATACGTTGTAGATTATCCCTGTTTGAGACTATATATGTTGTAGATTATCCCTGTTTGAGACTATATATGTTGTAGATTATCCCTGTTGAGAACAGGGAGTATATATGTTGTAGATTATCCCTGTTTAGAGCAGGGAGTCTATATATGTTGTAGATTATCCCTGTTTAGAGCAGGGAGACTATATATGTTGTAGATTATCCCTGTTTAGAGCAGGGAGACTATATATGTTGTAGATTATCCCTGTTTAGAGCAGGGAGACTATATACGTTGTAGATTATCCCTGTTTAGAGCAGGGAGACTATATATGTTGTAGATTATCCCTGTTTAGATTAGGGAGACTATATATGTTGTAGATTATCCCTGTTTAGAGCAGGGAGACTTTATATGTTGTAGATTATCCCTGTTTAGAGCAGGGAGACTTTATATGTTGTAGATTATCCCTGTTTAGAGCCAGTA